ATATTGTGGGTAAGTAAAGAAAAACGAAGGGAGAAGAAAAAAAATTACGTGGAATATTAGGGGGTGATGGAGCCAGAGGATATATGATTGTAGGCTTGACGGTGTTGCTAGCGATGAGGGATGGGGGAGGGTGAATAGAGGGGGGGAGGGGTAAGGCGGAGAGATTGCGTAGTTGTCGCGAAGACGGCATTGGGGTGGTTGGGTGGGTTGAATTTTTGATGAGCGAAATGGATTGTCAGACGCTTATAACGGGTGTCCCGAGAAGAATGCCACGGAGGCTGACGTTTCGACAGTTGATATAGGAAAACTGTGTGGAACTGACTCAGCATAGGTTAGCAGTGGGACGCCTCCAGCCACTGACAGCTGTCAGCTGTCAGACTTAAAAGTTTTATGATGAAAAAGTTTATATCGCTGCGTTTGCTACTGGGTGACCTCGTCGACCAGCGTCACTGCATTGAGCTTCGTCCCACCCGCCCTTACGTACTCTGGAATAAGTTTGTAAATAGAATATACACCGATGCAGAGTACACGCTACCCTTAGAGGATTCCTCTTTTGTCTTTCCAACTGGCGTTCCGCCCTATTCAACCCCATTCCGTAGCTTGTTGCGTACCACCCTTAAACTTACCAGACCCCAGTTGCCATTTCCATCCTATATCAGGGCCGTTCGAGGAGCTCGGAAATCAGTAGTCACGTGACGGAATGCCTCGAAATCCTTTGTCAAATCAAAGAATCAAGGGTTTCGGATGCAGTTAATTTTTTTTCAAAAATTTTCATTCATCTCGCCCGACACGGGATTTCTGAAGTCATCAAAGGGAAAGCCAGTCTGGAAAGCGTGGCGCTCCTGTATACGTACACAGAACGGCGAAGAAAAGGTGCGGAGGGAGAAAGGAATGACGAGGCGTGACGAGAACCGGAAGGGAGCCAAAGAGAGACCGGAAACCGCTGTGAGGAAATGGATGGGTGGTAGCACGTTAATTCCCGATGCCCCTGGTGAGTCTTACCCGGGACATCGCGAGGTCCTCTTTTCGAATCTTGGCAGGACTTCCAGAAGACGTGGGTGGTATCCACCCAGGAGCGCCGTGGCAATTCGTTTGTTTTCGACGATAACGTCACGGGCCGAAATGGCGCGTAAAATGGCCAAGTCTCCCAAGATTGTAATATTTATCCCTTAGCCCAATTCCTTCGGTCGCGCGGACGGTATAGTCTGGAAATTGGACCCTCTCTCTTTATAATTCAGCCACCCCCCTTGGTATACATAATTGATTGGTGCTTCAAAGGGCATGGAAATAATCCGGCGTCCCGGCGCCTGATTGACACCGCACTTTGTCACGGTCGCTGGGACCGTCCTGTTTAGCTGCACGCTTCCCCACTTGCATCCCTCCCTGTCATCTGTAATATGATCAGCAACATCCCAGCATCCCTCACCTTCGACTATTTCACTATCCTGTACCACCGATTGAAATGACAACAATCATCGTACATATATCGCATTTAGCGTATCGAGTGACGTCACGCCTCGGTCTCACAAATATTTTCAAGAATCTCAATGCTGCATCCGGAACAGACTCTACGCAGACTTCTCGGCTTCCTTTTATGCTGATTCTCATCCATGTCGAATACGAATGGACGGCCTACGTTGATTTGCGAATGAATAACTCATGACTCAACGAGTATTGCACTTGGTTAAGTCGCAGACCCACGCCTCGAGTCGTTCGTCCCTCCGCTCACCGAACCAACCAGAGTTCAACTTGCAATCCGCCGTTTTAACTTTGTCATACCATCCAGACTTCCCGCTGGCTTATCCAACGCTTATTCCCTTCGCATTTTTCACGTTACTTGCAACTTTTCTTTTCAAAATCTTCCCGCTTCCTTCTATAAGCTCAAGGGGGATCAATGTTGACCTATGAACTCATCTCTCACCCCCGTACCATCGATAGTCTCCAAGAATATCCAGCGATGGGCGGGGGTGGGCAGGGGGGGTTTTACAGAAATCTTTAAAATACACCCAGAGACGTAATATTGTATTCATGAAGCGAAGAGGTTCGAAACGTTGTGAATAAATAAATAAATAAGTAAATGCAAAAAGCAAAGGCGTAGCCTGCGGCGTCCCGAGTCTCTTTGGTTCACGTCTTCGTCCAAAAGGGGTTCGGAGCGTCGGCGACGCGACGATTGCTACGCCACTGCAATAAACGCAGTCAATATTGACAGTATCTATGACAGTTGTCATCGATGGTACAGAAACGCTTTCCGCCAATAGCGTCGACACGGCTGGAACCTTCGAGAACTTTGACTGCTTTGTCGATTTATTTCATCCCTTAGAGGACTCTTCTTTTTTTTTTTACTTTCCTTCTCTTACTACCCCTAACCACAAAACTCCCCAACGAGATACTCCTCGTTCTCCTGGTCTTCCATCTTCTGTGGTTTTCATACCTTAGCCCTCTTACCAGTCTCCCCCCCCGGCCACCCCTCGACCTCGCGACCCTTCTACCTCAACAACGTCTCCAACCCCTAACCCTATTTTCATCTTGCGGCAATATTTATTACAGTTCCGTCACGTCAGACAAAAGAAGCTCGCTTCAAAGGGATGGAGTGTTTAAATGTCTGCTTATATACCATATAGGTATACAACGTGTATACACGGGATTTCAGTACATTACATTAGCTTATATTACATTGCATTATATTTTCTCAGGCACTCACCCCCCTACGACCCCCGACCCTCTCGTGACGCAATACTTTACTCCCTCGCCACTTTATTGTCTCGAGACTGTCGGGCTTTTTATTCCGTGAAGGAGAGCTTTTGTTGTTTTTTGTTTTGCAACCCTTACTCCTATAATCGCCGTCGAGCTACTCCAAAATATCCCTCCCCCCCCCCCCCCCCCG